CAAATATGGCCGAGAGCAACATTCCTGAAACTTTCGAAGTAATCTTTATCCTTAAGTTCTTGTCGCAACACATAGGTAAGCCACCTCCTCAAATTTCAATTTCGTTTTCTACTAACATGTTGATTTCAATGATTCAGGCACCCACACAAGAATTTAAACCATTATCGGATCATTTCAAGTATCACCTTCCATTCAAAGATCAACTCCATGCTGCTGGTCCTAGTGAGGATTAAATGGAGGTATCATTCGGCTAGAAGACGTTAAAGCAAGCGCTTCTTGGGAGGCAATCCATGTGTTCAAATAAAGAGACGATGGAATTTCCGGCTCCTGCAACCAGATTTGCTCTCTTTTACCCTTCTCTTTATCGTTTTTACTTTGCCATGATTGTCTTGTTTGCTAATTATCTTTATATTGCTTTCTTGTTTAAGTTTATTTTTGAAACATTGAGGACAATATTTGGTTTAAGTGTGGGGGGGGGGGGTAAACATAATGCTTTTCATGATTTCTCTTCGAATTTCACCACCTATCATAACTAATGTTGTTATTCACTGTTTTAAAGTGTTTTATTGTGTGTCATATAAGAATTTTTTTTTTTTTTAAAAGGGAAAATTTTGAAAAAAAAAAACCAAAAAAAGTTGTTTTTGTTGCTTTTGTGTGTTTTAGGGTACCTTCCAACACAATGATGAGGATTTGGTTTTTAATTGCATGACTATTAAAGAAAGTTACAAACATGGGTAGAAGTTTGATATGCTCTTTGGTTAATACTTAGTTGTAGTTGTCATTTACGAATTCACATGTGATTAACAAAGAAAAAAAATCAGTTTTTGTAACGTGCTTGAAGGAAGAAACTCAAACTAACGCTACAACCCTGTGAGACTTGAGTGTATTCTTTGTTTGGAGAGTTATTAATCTGTGATATTCTTGTTTTCTAAAGTCATTTCATGATCTCATTATTTCTTTGCTTGGTTGCTATTTAGAATGCTTTTTCATCATTTTAGTTCCAAATACTAGAACTCATGCCCATTTCATTCAAAGCATAAAATTGATTGCATAATAAATAACAACATGAAGTTGTTTAGTTACCACTAGAGCCAAAAAGCCTTATCCCTTGCATATGTATTATAGGTTTAACCCCTTTGAGCTTTATTTAGCCTATTTTTTTTGTTAGCCTGCATTATCCCTACCTAGCCTAGCATAGGAATATCAATACCCTTGTTCGTAAAGAATAGTGGAGCATGAATTGTTGAGAATTCCTTTTGATCTCCGATTTGTAGAAAAACAAGTGTGGGGGAAGAATTTGTTCTTTTGAATCCAATGAAGTAGTGTGTATGTTTCAAAGAAAAAAAATTAAACAAAAAAAAGAAGAAAAACGTTGAAAAAAAATTGAGAAAAGAAGAAAAGAGGTTGAGAAAGAAGTTAGAATGAGTTCATCAGTGTTGGTTGTTGAAGAAGGGTCCAAAAATCTGAATCTGACCCTAAAGTTGTACGAATCTTCACTTTCTGTTTAAATTTGGGTGCTGTAGTCAAAAGTTTAATTCTAAGTGTTGATTTCATTACTTTGCTTACTGTCACTTTAAGAACCCTTGTTTATCCTTAACCTTTCTTTGTTAGCCAATACCTTAGCCCCATTACAACCCTTAGATCTTTATCTTGATTGTTTTGTGTTTCAATATGTGGAGTTTGAAACGAGCATATGGAATCCCTAGTTCTCGCTTCTAAGTAGTGGCATTCCATTCATGAGATTATATACATGTTTGTATTAATAATTCCAAAAAGTGCCTTCGTTGTTATAACATATGTGAGTGCTAGTCTACATGTTTACATCAATCTTCTCACATATACTTAGTATAGGGAGTATAGTCAGAAAATCTGTGTGAAAATAAAGAGTATATCCAGTGAGGAATTGAGTGAATTCTCTAAGGCATGTTACTATATTCAAATGTTGTTTTAATTGATTAAATGCGAGCTAATGGGTGGTTACTGTGGTTAAGTATAAGCTCAAGAGTAAGGATGACTAAAATCTATGTGAGTAGTGATTTTTAACATGTCATGTTTCATTGGAAATCCCTAAGGCAATTGTTGGAAGGTTTAGGTTTTGTTTTGTTTTCTATTTTTTGCTCGAGGACTAGCAAAAGCTAAGTGTGGGGGAATTTGATAGGAGCATGTTTATGCGACTTTGTTATCTTATTTCTTTGCATTTACTTCGTTTATTTCCATTTATTTTGGTAATTTATGTTATTTTTGTATTATTGTAGGTTCAGTTGGTAAAGATGACAATAAATATCTAAATGGAGTAATTTGGAGCAGTTTTGGACTTGGATTGGATAGCATGCGTGGATAGCATATGGGCTGAACGTTTTTGGTGTTTAAATTGTGTTAGACATGTGCTAAAATCTGGAGAAATTAAAGTTGAGGCTTGGAAGACAAGGAATTACACAAGAAAAAGGAATTCTAGTTGGAGAGGAATACTATCTTACCTTATCTTATCTTATCCAATCTTACCTTATCTTATCTCCAGCTCCAAGGAGGAATCCTTATCACATTCCAACACTTCCTATCTGATTCTAGGAGTCCTAAAATAATTCAAACAACCTAATCTTTTTCCTCCTGGGATTCAGTTGTGCCTTTACCCTATATATACACATGATTGCTGCAAATAAGAAAGGGGGTGCCATGCCTACCATTCATCCATTGAAGTCACTGGAGTTTTCTGGGTTCTTTCTCTCTTTATTTTAAGTTTCAATGTTTATTTTAGATTATTTTTCAGTTATGATGAATATGTGTAACTAAGTTTCTTTTTAGCTAGAGGTGAATTCGAATCCATAATCATATGTTTTATATAAATTGATCACATCCAGTTATTGTTTCATAAAACATGAATGTGATTTACTTATCTGCTTTATATAGAACTTATTCTTGTATGTTTATTAAGGGTGCACACTTAGTTTGCATGCAAGGATTTGATGCTAGAATATAAGGGAATTTCACCTAATCATTATGAACTTATATTTTCAAGTAGTAAAAGTCACTAGTCATGATTAAGTTAAGTAAATTCTTGGTAGCAGTATCATGTTTTCCATAGTTACGAATGTTTTGTCAATGCTTATGATTTTCATAGAACTTAATGATCTTTGAGATGTATCTCTATCATGTTTTTCATAGTTAGGGAACTTGAGAAGAATAATTTGGTTGCATCGTTGAGTCCAATTCAATCAACTTAGGAAAATCTGAGAGTTAATTAGTGATGTTCACAATTAATTTAGAGCATTGTCATTCATGGTTTATAGGAGGAATAACTGGAAATCGATTTGTATGCATATGTTTCATGTGTTGAGAAGAATCATTTAGCTATCCTTTCATCCATATTTCATTCACAACTTAATTTACTTGTTGCCCTTTACTTTTATTTTAATTAAATTCGTCCAAAAACTCCCCCCACATTGTTTTGTTGTTAGTTTAATATTGCTTTCAGTTTTATAAGTTTAATTTGTGTTGATTAGCATCCCTTCTAATCCCCGGAATAGAACGATCCCTACTTACTCATACTACGATTGAATCATTTATAGAGTTTAATTTATGTGTTAGTTTCTACCACATCATTGCCTAACTCATTTTCGTCGGGTAGGTCAACAACGGTCAACAAAAGTTGTAATTCCAATGTGCAAATATCACATAAATCCAAACACGTGTGTTGGGAATCTACTGACACAGTTTTTACCCAACGAACTTCGGTTGGTTAAAGTCTTATTGGTCAAAAGTTTCCAACTCCTACTTCCAAAGTGTCACAGATATCTAGTCACGGGCATAGGAGTCCATTGACAGGTATTTGTTGACGAACTTCCGTCGAGTAAAATCTAATTGGTCAAAAGTATTTTCTCAACGTGTCACATACATCTGGTCACGGGCCTAGGGATTATACTGATATATGAATTGCCCGATGGACCTCCATTGGGTAAAACCCAATTGGTCGAAAGTCGGATTTCTATTTACCATGTGTCATAGATATCTACCTCACATGGGGATAAAATCCACCGACCCAGTAATTACTGGATGAGAGTTCGTTGGGTAAACATATATTCATCAACCATAAATAGCTTCCTAACTCTTCATATTTCTCATATAAATAGAAGTGTTTTCTTTTGTAAAGTTAGTTTTGGGATATTCCTTTTAGAATAAAAAAATTGTGTGAGTGGTGGGATGGTTTGGAGTAATAAGGTTGTGTTTAAGGATATCATAGTGGATGGGTGGATGGTGTAGATGTAATTTTAGGTGAGTTAATTGTCAGGTTTCGTAGCAACTATAAGATTTGCATTATAATATTGTAACTAGTGGTTTGAATGGAAATAAGGATCGTCTCGTAGGCTAGTCAAGTAATTTGTCTCTGTCAATGAATGTGGTGATCAAAAGTTACTCGAATGACTTCCAATTGGAATAATAATGGAGGTATTAAAGAATATTAGTAATTAAGCTATACTGAAATACAAAATTAAACTGAAATCATGATGTAAGTTGGTTTTGTACATGATGTCAACTAATTTCTTTTCATCCAATATAACGCCATTACCAATATTCTTCAATACTTTTGTCATTCTTCTACATGTAAGATATTCGAGTATCTATTGGTCACCACATTTATAGACACAGAGAAAGTACTCGGCTAGTTAACAATACGATCGTATTTTCTTTCAAACATATAGCTATAATAATATCATTCTAAATCTTATAGTTGTTGCGAAGCCCTTCAATTCTCACCTCACATTACATCTAGATTGTCCATCCACACACTATGATATCCTTAAAAACAATCTCATCACTCCAAACCCTCTCACCACTCACACAATACCTACCAGACAAAGTTTCTGTCAGGTAAGAGTGTAAAAATGTTATAACCTTGTATCCTCCTCTTACTCACCTTTTCAACGTCTCTCTCACTGTCACTCTCAATCTCTCACTTTCAATGGTCTCTCATTCTCACTCTCACTATCATTCTTGCTCTCAATACTCTTACCCTTACTTTCTAATTCTCACTGCTCTAACTCTGACTCTCCATCTCAGGTCTCTCAGTTCTCTCACTCTCCTCTCATCTGACCCTGCTTTCAAGCCGAGCAACACCGGCTCTCATCTTTGTCAGCCTCTCTACCACTCTGTAAGTTAGTAATTAATTTCGTTTTATTTGCTAATTTGTTTTGGACTTGTGAAATTGATATTGATTTGTGGATTTTATAAATTGAATTTGTGAAAATTATGGATTTGTGAATATGTGAAGCTGTGATATATGTGAATATGTGAATCTTGGGGTTGTACTTTGTCAATTTATGAATTAGATTATACACAGTGGCTTTTTGAATTGGATTATAATATATGAATCTGTAAATCTATGAATTGGGGTTGTAATCTGTCAATCTATGAATTGGGGTTGCAATCTGTCAATCTGTGAATTAGGGGATGTAGCTTGTTAATTTGATTGTCATTTTTTGTTAATGTGTTTGTGAATCACGGGTTTGTGGAAGTGAAAATGAATATGTGAAAGTGGAATTGTGAAATGAATATGTGAAAGTGGAAATGTGAATTGAAAGTGATGGATATTTGTGTATAGGATTTGTGAATTGGAAATGATGCATATAGGTTGAAAATGAATTCGTAGTGGATTGATAATGAATTGAGAGTGATGCATATAGGCTTAGGAAATATTTAAAATGAGTTATTTTTGCAGATTGGCTTATCGATTGATCACGAGCAGCCGTCGATCTGATTCTTCTTCGGCTTAGAGTGATGAGTTAACCCAAGTGCTCAATTGGTGGCCAGTAGGATCTAAGCATCGACTGTGGAGTTGGCAGTCGCCATAAGTTTGATTGCATAATTGCCTCATCCCCGATCTGCCAGGCCAGTCCATAGTACCAGTCGCCACTAGCCGCCCCCCACGATTACATCACCCCTTTCTGGCAATGTAGAGGTATCTGTGGATGAAAGGGAGAAAGAAAAACACCCACCCTATTGGGCGCTGAAGACAAACCGGATCATGCGGACCACCCTAGTAATCGGCCTGAAGATACTCCAAATGTGTACTTGGCGGGATTGAGCTTCATCTTATACCTTCTAAAGATGTCAAAAGTTTCCGCCAAGTTACCGATGTGATCGGATCGCTGCTTGCCTTTCACCATGATGTTATCGACATAGACCTCCATGGTGACTCTAATTTTAAACATCATGTTTACTAACCTTTGGTAAGTGGCCCCCGCGTTCTTGAGGCCAAATGGCATGACCTTGTAGCAATAGGTGTCTTGCTCGATCACGAATATGGTTTTTTCCTTGTCGGGCTTGTACATGGCTATTTGGTTGTAGCCAGAGTAGGTGTCCAAGAAACTAACCAGCTGGTTCCCATAAGTCGAATCTACTAATTGATCGATTTGGGAAAGTGGATAAGGATCATTTGGGCATGCTTTGTTGAGGTCAGTGTAGTTTACGTAAACCCTTCATTTACCCTTTGTTTCTTCTTTACTAATATGATGTGGGCAAGCCATGCTGAATGTGCTACGTCTTCTATGAATCCAGCCTCAAGTAAGTTGTCAATTTTCGCTTCAATGATCACTGCTCACTTGGGTGTGAAATGTCTTTTCTTTTAGATTAACGATTTGGCAGCGGGGTAGACGTGCAGCTTGTGGCAAGCTATCTTGGGGTCGATGTCGGGCATGTCAAAATGTGACCATGCGAAGATGTTATGTTTTTCCATAAGGAAAGCTGTGAGTTCTCCTTTTCTTTCGGCTTCAGATGTGAGCCAATTCTAGCCGTCTTTTCCAGCTGCTGGGGATTAAGAATGATGTCCTCAGCGTCTTTTTCGGGTTTCCATCCTATCTCGTCTGCTAGCGCGTTGGATCTAATGCCATCTTCTTGATCCGCTTGCTGTAATTGCTATTTGGTAGCTTCATCGTTCATTCGGACCTCGGTAGCCTTTACGGGGGTAAAGGTTTTCTTCTTTGATTCCTTCAATACTTGCACAGTGCATTGTCGAGATGTGGCCTAGTCAGACTTGATTTATCCAACTCATTCTCTCGGGATGCAGAATTGATTTTTTTTTATACTTGACAGAAATGATGGTGTCCAGCTTGATTAGCCAAGGTCTTCCAAGAATCCCATTGTAGGGAGATGGGTCGTTTACGATCATGAACGTCTACTTTGAGACAACTGGTGGTGTTTTCATGTCAAGTGTGATGTGGCCGATGGCAGTCGAGGTGTGCCCGTTGAATCCGGTAAGTACCTCCGCTCGGTGTATGATTGTGCTTTCTAAGCTCATCTTCTAAATTACTGAGAGTTGAAATAGGTTGACCGCACTTCCATTGCCATCATTTTGTCAACTATAGCATGGGCCAGTTAGACAGATACTACTAGTGTGTCATCGACGTCTGTGTTCCTTCTAGGCTGCGCAGCTGTCTTGTCCAAGTATATGTTGACTTTGCCTTCTTTCACTAGCTTCTCTAGGTAGTTCTTCCAAGTGTAACAGTCGTCCATTGTGTGACCGGGACCTCGGTGGAACATGCAGTACTTGGTGTGATCCAACTTAAAAGTATGTCCCTTTGATTATTTCGGCAGCTTGAACTATGGCTCGTTCTTAATGTAGCGAAGGATTTGGTGGATCAGGATTGAGAACTTGCAGTAGTTCTTAGTCGTCGGGCCTTCTTTGGTCATGGGTCGGCCCCTACGCTCAGTCTCACATCTCGCCCCAGGTCCCACCATATCTAGCTCGACTCCGCCGTAGCACAATATTGTTCGTTTTGGGCCTCGACCTTGCCTCATAATTTTGTTTCTAGGAACTCACACGAGAACTTCCCAATAGGTCACCCATCTTAGGAATGCTCTTGCGCGAACTCGCTTAACTTCGGAGTTCTGATGGAACCTGAAGCTAGTGAGTTCCTAAAAGGCCTCGTGCTAGGTAGATATAGGAATATACATATAAGGCTTACAAGATCCACTACTCTGGGCGATGTGGGATGTTACAATCCACCCCCTTAAGGGCCTGACATCCTCATTGACACTCACACAGAACGACAGAGTGGCTATGATACCAAATTATCATATCTCAGCCCGGGCCCTTACCACATCCCAGGCTCGACTCCATCGTAGCACGACATTGTCCGCTTTGGGCCCTGACCACGCCTTCACGATTTTGTTTCTAGGAACTCACACGAGAACTTCCCAATGGGTCACCCATCTTGGGATTGCTCGGGCGCATCGTCTGCTCGCCGAGCCTCGTCCCAAAGTGCATGTTTCTCTGCCAAAGCGAAAGAGTATGTTAGGGTTATATCTTCTTTCATGATCAATTCTCCAAATAATGGATGGTCTGCTAGGAGTCCTTTTTGGAAGGTTGTGCTTACTATTGAGTCGTTGCATCCGACTATCTTCACCTTCTTTGCTTTGAACCTCTTCAAGTAGTCTTGGAGGGACTCTTTTGGGTTGTTCTTCACGTTGAACAAGTGGTTGGACTTTTTTTTTATCGAGCAGTGGGATGAGTATTCTTAGGTGAAAACCAAGGAAATATCATCAACACTCCGGATGGATCGTGGTGGTAAGGTGTGGAACCAATCTTGCGCCTTGCCTTGTAAAGTGGTGGCGAATATCTTGTACATAAGAGCATCGTTGTTTCGATAAAGGACCATTGTGCTTCGGTAGTGCTTCAAGTACCTTTCCGGATCTCCATCTCTTTTAAAATATGTGAAATGTTGTATGCTAAACTTACGTGGAGGTTCTACCTGCTCGATCTCATCCGTGAAGGATGACTTGCTCATATTGGTCATGTCTCGTCTTAAAGCTTCATCGGTGACTTCATTGCGTTGGAAATTACGCAATCGCTCGTTTAAGAACCTTTCTACCTCTTCCTAAATTTGCCTTTGTTGGGGGTATCAGAGCTTTCAGTTGCCTCTTGTCTTGACCTGCTAGTTTAGACTGCTCTTCTACATGTTTAGCTCGTCTATGTTGCGGCAGCGGTGCATGTGGTTCATTCCTAGCAGGTGAAGGAATTCTTCGCAGGCTGCTGGTTGAACTTTAGCTGAACTGAGTGACTGCTTCTCTTTGTCCTTTGTGCCGTATACTTCGATGTAAGGTGGAAGATGCTCCTTGCGAACCTAGCTATGAATGAACACTTCGCTTGGAAGGTTGCTCATGTTAACTATCAGAGTGTGAACCCAACAGTGAATGTATGCTCGTCCATGGGCCTAGTTGAGAGTGCATGCTCCTCTGCACGCTAAGACGAAAGTATATGCTATCTCAAGGGCCCAATCGGGAGTGTACACTGCCCGAACGCTCGGTTAGTGGCTGATCGAGTGGCTGCTTGCTGGGACGCTGCTGGAGAAGTTCTTCGTCTGCCATTGTCCTACTTCAAGACACTTGTCTTGGGCACATTGCATCTTAGTGTGTTGCAAGAGTTGATTCACCATGGTCGTCTGCTGTGTGAGGACGCTCATCAACTTTATAACTTATCGAGACAAGTATTGTTCTCCATTTAGGTTGGAAGAGCTCGAAATGTATGTGTCTCCTTTAGTGGTGGAAGTGTGGTAAACTCCGAGTGTGAGATTTGAGTTGGGAAATGTTAAATCCGCGGAGAAATATAGTGAAAATGCCCTCAGTTCAATTGTCGGTCAGGAAATTTGAAGCTGGGATGGTTGGACCAGTCTTAGAACAATTTGGGCTGCTTAGAAGGCCACGGGAATGGGTTAGGCCACAAGAGTGGGCTGCTCGGCATGTAGCGTACGTGGGTGCGAGGCTAGGGCTTGACTCGGCCACTTGTTGGGCTCGCGTTGGGCTTGAGTGGCTCGGGCCGGCTCGTCTTGGGCTTGGGCCTTTGTAGGCTTGAATGGCACGACTTGGGCCATGGTTATGGCGCTGTGGGCCTTGCTTGTCGTGGTGGTTGCCACGGTGGTGCCACTCCACTCATCGTCGTGTTGAGTCTCGTGGATCACCGTGGTCCTAATTCTTGAACGTTGGAATTTTCGTTCGTTGAGATTTTTGAATTTCTTGTCATTGTATTCTTCTTTTACGATTATTCAAAGAATTTTTACAGAAAAAATTCTAGGAACAAGAACATACGAAAAATCTACAAATGAACAAGAAAAACAAAAAATCTTGAATGCGAGAGTGTTCTACAAGCATGTGACTCAACTCTTAATGAAAGCACCAATTTGTGGATACAAATTTTTGCCTTCTTCTTCTTGAACAAAATTGCACCTACAAAACAATTAATACATTAGGTCAAGGCCAAGAGCCTCACGCGCTCACGATGAATGATGGTGGCTTTTTCTGAAGAACCTTTGATGCCAAAATTAGAATTTGAGGGAAAAGTGTTTAGAGAAATTTGGAGAATTTAGCAAGAGAGTTGGAATTAGGTTTTTGGTGAAATGAGGTGGTATTTATAGGGGTGTGGCCAGCTTCTTTGGGAGAGATGGGAACTGGCCACATTTGGTGGCTTTTGGGTGTAATTGCAAGATATTATGTCAAAATAATATCTTGCGATCAATTAGGAAATTAATTAATCAATTAGAAAATTAATTAATTAGGAAATTAATCAATTAATTTATGTACTTAATCATATTTTGAATAAATATTTTGGAGGTTACCTTGCGGAAAGGGTCTGCATGAGGATGGATGAAATAAGTTTTGAATAAATACCTATTTTGATCACCTTTAACCTTGATTGAGTTGTGATTGTTGATGAGTCAATATTATATTATATATTTTACCCTATTCTTAGTATAATTTGGTAATTGTTTTGGTAGAATTTTGATACTTTGCTTTATATTTTCAATATAGGATATTCAACTTCTTCTGGAGCAAAACATGATCAAATGGATGAATTTTGGAGCAATTCAAATTGAAAGACGTTCGTATGCCTCTTGGCTTGTTCATATCAAAATTTGGGATTTTCCTACCAAGCGGTTATTTTCTGGCGATTAAATGAAGGAGCAATACGCGTTGCTGAAAAGTGACGTTTCTAGACTTAAACTTCATTTTTGGAGCCTAAGATGACCTCAGATGGGTTCGTGGCCTTCTGGAAAAGTGTTCAGAATAGTCCAAGCTCTAAATCCAGCTATTTTGGGCCAATTTTGGAGCTGATATGGGGCCAGAACATGGCTGTGCAGATTTCTAGGCAAATTTACCAAGTTAATTTAGGATTATGTTTCTTATTTTATTTCAATTTATTTAGTTTCCTAGTCTTATTCTAAGACCTTGGACTAGGAGGATTTTATTTAGAGTAGTATAAATAAGCCTTTTGGCAGACCTAGGGTTTCTCTTGGACGGATGCAACTTTTTGGGAGAAGACTTTGGGAAAAACTTAGAGAATTCAAGACTTATACTTTCAGGTGTTTCCATTCTTTTTCTAGTTTAATATAATTTTGTTGATTTTAATTATGAATATGCATAGCTAATTTTCTTTTGTTAGGGTGAGGCCATGATCCTTAGCAAGAATATGTAGTCTCTTTTTAATTTTCTTATGAATTTATGCATGCAAGTTTTGGATTGTTAATCACTGTACTTTAAACTATCTATTTGTCTTATTGATTCGCAACCATTAGGATAATTAGAAAAGTAATTTGATGCAATTTTGGCGGAGGGCTGTCCCTAAAATTGACTAAGGCTTATTGTAGTTAACATGTGTAACTATTTAGGATGGATGAAATGTCTTAGGAGTTATATGGTTTTTCAAAAGGTTTTCACAAAACTTAACGAGTCTTGCATGTTCATATTCGATTTAGACGCCACGGACGGGTTGCATGATTAGATATATGTTCTATGTTGGGGGTTCCAAGTAGGGCATACTTTAGGAAAACCTAATCTTCAAAATATGCATGTGTAATTCTGTTTGGACCCGATTTTACATCATCGGCCCAAGCGATCGAGGCCGTTGAGTGGGCATGATTCTCGACCGCTAGATGAGAAAGTAGAGATAATTTGATTATTAAAGGATAATATTATAATTATCTTTTAATATGAATTATCTCGGTATCTTCTTAAACCAGATAAATAGAATGCGATTCATATCCCGAATAAGCAGTACAATTCGAATTGATTTGGGATGTCTGTCAGCACTGGGAAGTAAGATGAATTTAAAATTCATTTGATCAGAATGATGATGGCTATTGTTGATGAGGTGAGGATGAGGTAGGAGACCTAAGGGGTGTTGCCGTGTCAAAAGCTATCAGCCATATATATATATATATATATATATATATATATATATATATATATATATATATATATATATATATATATTGGGTGGTTGATTAGATGGACGTTACCCAAGCTTGCAGATTATCTTGGATTCGATAAGATGAGTTTTAATTGTTTGGGAGTCTTTTTCAGCTTATCAACCAGTGCGTATTCGTCACTATAAATACAGAGTCGCAGGCAACGTTCAAAGGACCCCTGCAAATCAATACAAAACTGCCCTGCGCAAACTCAACAACTTGAGATTTTTTTCTTTCTTTTTCGCTGACACATCTTCCGTTGGCATCAACAGCACTGTGAAAGCAACCGGTGATATCTTAAGTCGGCATAGATAGCTCTGTCACCGTAGAATCAGCCGGTCTCGCAGCATCTTCCGTTGGCATCAACAGCACTGTGGCGAGGACGGTTGATTACCTATCCAAGTCTCGGTCGAGAAGGATTTCTGAATCCTTATTGGTCGAGGTCATCTCATCAGCCTTCTCGGCAAAGTGAGGTGTTACAGTTATTACATTCGGCACATTGAGAGCCGAATTTGATATTGAACTTCGTAAGAATAGTAACCTTGTCTTCAGGTTCGAGAGCCCAAGAGGCCGAGACGTGTTCCTTTCTCGGCCGCAATCACAAGACGCAGAAGTCAGCCGCGCACCCAACGCAACATCAACAAAATTTACTCCTCGGCCGAGCTTGGCCGACGAGTTGGCACGCCCCGCATTCACCGAAGGACGTAGTTAGCTTATAGATTACTCGGCCTGCGCGCCACGTAGGCTTGGTAGTTTCTAGGGTCAACAAATTCATAAGAAATTAAAAGAACTACGTAGGATTGTTAGGGTGACGGCAGAATCCTAGTATTTTCTCATTTTGAAATCTAAAAAAAATTGTTTCCTTTTTCTTTCTCTAAAAATTGCAGATTTTAATTAGCCTTTTTAATTAATTTCGTTTCTCTTAATTTAGGTTATTAAATCACCATTTTCCAATCTTTGTTTTTAAATAGTTAACAAGGATTAGGGTTTCTCATAAATTGTTTTAAATAATCCATGCGGAAACGACCTTACTTGAGCCATTTATACTACAACACCCTTGTTCTCTTGCAAGTATTTTGTGTGATTTTATCCCTACTCTTGTAGGTGGTTGTTTAGGCCCAAAATAAAGTTTGGGCCGAGTAGAGAATCATTCTCGGCCCGGAAGGCCTTGCGGCATGGATCGTTCAGTACGTGAGCCTCCAGACCTAGGTCGGCTAGGTCAGGACGTAGGATAAGTCAAGTCCTGGTGCAATAAGGAGTCTCGGCAGGATTAATAACCCGAGAGCGAATCCGACTCAATAAAGGACTAGGTTCACAGTCATAATGAAAGTATGATTGGTCGAGTCAGTGTTTGATTGGGAGAAGAAGTCCTAGTCCGAATGGGGTTTCAACTCGACCTTGGGGGGAGCCGTTGCTATAAATAGAAGAGGCCGTGCATCATTCGAAGCCCCTACAATTCAACACAAAACTGCCATGTGCAAGCTTTCTCAACAACTTTGAGATTTTTTCTTTTCTTTTCTCGCTGACACATCTTCCGTTGGCATCAACAACACTGTGGAAGCAACCAGTGATATCTTAAGTCGGCATAGATAGCTCTGTCATCGTAGAATCAGTCGGTCTCGCAGTATCTTCCGTTGGCATCAACAGCACTGCGGCCAGGACGGTTGGTTACCTATCCAAGTCTCGGTTGAGAAGGATTTCCGGATCCTTATTGATTGAGGTCATCTCATTAGCCTCCTCGGCGAAGTGAGGTGTTACAGTATATCGAGCTCGGCACATTGCACGCCGAGTTATTTTATGATTGGATATTCCCAAGTGGGATTTAAAGTTCGGCATTCGGACGGCCGAACCACGTTCACCATTAAAACTTATATTTTCTTTGAGTATTTGTGCCCTTACACTTTGGTGTCGATTCAGCGTGAGTTTATTCTGACGAATAACATCACTGTGACTGAATCCGACGACGACGACTCGTGAACTTCGTAAGAATAGTAACCTTGTCTTCAGGTTCGAGAACCCAAGAGGCCAAGACGCGTTCCTTCCTCGGTCGCAATCGCAACACGCAGGAGTCAGCTGCGCACCCAACGCAACATCAACAAATTTACTCCTCGGCTGAGCTCGGCAGACGAGTTGGTATGCCCGCATTCACCGAAGGACGTAGTTAGCTTATAGATTACTCGGTCTGCGCGCCACGTAGGTTTGGTAGTTTCTAGGGTCAACAGTGGTAAAAGCCCTATCAATTGTCCGCTGCTCGTGCGTGGGAGTTCTGGTGTGCCTCGAGGGTAATTTTGTCTTTTTAACACAAGAATCCACGTGTTGCTTCCATATTTTTCTCTATTATTTATTGCTCCACAAAAAATTTCAGCTAATAAATATTTATATTTTTTCTTTTTGTTGTATATTTATTTTTTCATCTTCATTTAAAACTAATACTTTAATGTTCAGAAAAAATCAGCGGCAAATAAAGGAAATCAGGACAATAAGCCGTACGAGCACCATTCCAGTTCTTGACCTCTATCATACCTGGTCGAGGAATTGCGGGAAGCTAGGGAGAAGTTCTCAGTAGTGGTGGTTTGGGTGGAGACCCACGCCAATTACGGCAACAAGGTCGCAGACGAGATTTTTGTATGTATTTTTTCATAACTTTCAATTATAATTTTTATTACTGTAATTATAGTTTAAATTGTAATTAATCTAACTTCGTGATCTTTGTTTTTTTTGTTTTGTTTTATAAGATTCAATGGTACAAAAGAAGGACGATTACCTTGCCAATTTCTCATAGCAGCATCCTAACGTGCCTGTGGAGGAGGTGACACCTGACCCAGCCCAGAGGTGCCTCTCCAGGTGCAAATGGACGGGGTTGGCAGAAGGAAGGGCAAGGGAAGTCTACGGCCTAGGACCGAGTCGAGTTCAAGAAGTCAAGTCTTGTTCTTCATCGAGTTCCACTGCAGCGACCGAGATCGATTCCAGACTTGGCAGGTAGAGGAGGAGATGGCACGCCAAAGGGAATTAGTTCGTCAATACTTCAAAGCCGTATCCCAGAGCTTATAAGCTTTTGGCTTTACGATTCACCGTCCTGCCTGAGCTTGTGCCGCTATTCCAAGAGATCCCCAGCAGTCGTCCCAGCAGTGACCAAACCTTACCATAGTTTACGATTTCTGTTTTCTTTTTTTCTTTTTGTAATATATTTGGGTGAACAATTTTTTTGGGTTGTATATATTTATTTCCATTTTTGCAATATGTTGTTTTTTTTAAGTAGCCCGACGGAAAAGCCGTTTCTTAAACTCATATCTTCCGACGGCGCTATTCATCGAAATATCTTACAACAATATTTAAATATGACATGTCGACCAGTTCCTTTCCGTAGGTTGATGCTCCGTTGCGTAAATTAATTTATAACCGGCAAATGTATTCGTCATGCAATATCTTAAACGACGGATCTATTTTTCTTGTAGTGACACACAACTTAAAAATTAAAATCCAATGGCCAAATGGACGGCTAACAGATCCCATTTTTTCTACAAGTTCATTTCTTTGGTTGGAATCCTAGTTATCTCCAATGACCTCGAAGGAATCTCATGTGTTTTTTTTTCCACTAAAAGACAGCCTCATCATATATACCTAGGCAACAATGATACTTTGAATCCAAGAAAATCTTTAGTCCAACCCATTGAATCTTCTTGGAAACTACAATCAACAACAATTTATCACACTTAACAAAGCATACTATATGGCTACAAAAAGAATCATTTAGATAAACAATCCCAAAACTGCTGCATATATCACCCTTTTGCAAAATCTGCTGCATACAGCAACAAAATAGCACCCTTTTGCGAAACCCTAATTTCTCTGAGAGTTTGGCATGGCTTTGCAGAGTGAAGAACAATATGTCGAGTCACTTTCCATGGGACAAAAACTAATTGTGAAGAATTTCATTTGGTCGAAAGAAGAATGGCCAGCCATAAAACACGACGACTTTGCAGACACAGATGACATCCCTGTCATAAGTCTCCAAGGTATTTTGGATGGGAGGAAAAACCCAGACTACGAGAAGGTGTGCCGAGTGATGGTGAGTGCTTGTGAGAAGTGGGGGTTCTTCAAGTTAGTGGATCATGGGGTTGCTTTGGAGATCATAGAGAATTTCATAGGGAGTTTAAATGGGCTGTTTGATCTTTCAATGGAGCAGAAAGTGAAGGGTGTCAGATCAGCTACTTTACCACTGGGTTACTGTGCCACAAACCCTGATTATGAAAAAAATTTACCTTGGGCAGAGATCTTACAGTTACTCCAGTCCCCTCAACAGGTAGTTGCATTTGCAAATAAAGTTTTTGGTGATCAACACCAGCAATTTAGGTAAGATTTTCATACCATACATACTTGAATTCTTAGATCATGTATGGTTTAATTAGCAGTACATTAATTAGAGATACTGTCTATTTGTTCCATATTTGCTGACCACCTCTTTCAATACATGTGGTAAAATAGTTTTGTTCTTTAATCAACAAACTGTTGCCCATATGTTACTTTAAATCTCCTCCAACAAAGTAAAGGCTAAATGCTCCTATACCAAAATGATTATTGGAAAATTTTCTTTATTCCTTAGTAGTTGTTTAAGATGATTGCTAAAATGATCACTTAAGCACATGTGAGTGATTTCTAACTATAAATTTTCTAACTATAAATGTATGTGAATTCTATAAGAAAATTGCAACAAAGGTTTTTGGTGGCCATCAAATCACCAATTTAGGTAAGATTTTCATATATATCATATAGTTTGAATTCTTAGGTCATGTATGATATTTAATGGTTTTAACAGTTGATCAAGTAGAGGTAATTAATAAATAAAAACTTACCACCTCTTTCAATACGTGTGGTGCAAATAGTTTTTTGGTTTTCTACAAACTGTTGTCCTTGTTGTCTGATAGGATTTTTAGGTACCTATGCAAGGAGGTTAAGATCATACAAAATACTTGTAAGAGAACACGGTTGTTATAGTATAAACGACTCAAGTAAGGTTGTTTTCCGCTGGGATTATTTAAAACGTTTTATGCAAAACCAAAATCTTAGTTAATTATTTAAAAACAAAGATGGGAAAAAAGGTGATTTAATGACTTAAATTACAAAAACAAAAGTAATTAAAAAGGCTAATTAAAAACTGCAATTTTTAGAGAAAGAAAAAGGAAACAATTTTTAGAATTAAAAATGAGAAAATACTAGAGTTCCACCGTCATCCTAACAATCCTACATAGTTCTTCTAATTCCTTCTGAATTACACATGCATATTTTGAAGGTTAGGTTTTCCTAAAGTATGCCATACTTGGAACCCCCAACATAGAATGTATATCTAACATGCAACCTATATGTGGCATCCAGATCGAATGTGAACATGCAAGACTCATTAAATTATGTGAAAACCTTTTGAAAAACCATATAACTCCTAAGACGCGTCGTCCATCCTAAATAGCTACACATGTTAACCACAAGAAGCCTTAGTCAATTTTAGGGACAACCCTCTGCCAAATTGCATCAAATTACTTTTCTAAATATCTTAATGGTTGTGAATCACTAAGACAAATAAATAGTTTAAAGCACAGTGATTAACAATCCAAAACTTGCATGCATAAAGTCATAAGAAAATTAAAAGACACTACATATTCTTGTTAGGGATCATGGCCTCACCCTAGCAAAGGAAAATAAGTTACGCATATTCATAATTAAACTCAACATAATTGTATTAAACTAGAAAAAGAATGAACACACATTGTAGAATAAAGTCTGAAAATCTCTAAGCTTTAGCGAAATCGTTCTTCTCCAATGTTGCATATGTTCCAACCAAACCCTAGGTCTGCCAAAAGGCTTATTTATACTACTCTAAATAAAATCCTACTAGTAGAAGGTGTTAGAAAAAAACTAGTAAACCTAATAAATTGAAATAAAATAGGAAACATAATCCTAATTTAACTTGGTAAATTCGCCTAGAAATCTACACAGCCACGTTTTGGACCCATATTAGCTCCAAAACTGGCCCAAAACAGCCACTATTTTGAACATTTTTCCATAAGGCCACAAACCCATCTGAGGTCATCTTGGGCTCAAAAAACGCAATTCAAGCCCCAGAAACGTCACTCGCACTGCTCCTTTATTAAATCGCCATAAAATAACCGCTTAGTAGAAAAATCCCAAATTTTTATAGGAACACGCCAAGAGACATACGAACGTCCTTCAATTTGAATCACTCCAAAATTTGTCTGTTTGGTCATGTTTTGATCCAGAGGAAGTCGAATGTCCTACATTGAAAATATAAAGCAAAGTATCAAAATTGACACGCCCCGATCCCGATATTACACGAATACCAAGATAGGCACGTGCTAGCCGACACCCGAGGGTGACGAAAGCCATTTATTGAATGCAAATGCTGATAATAAAGGAATAAATAAGACTTATAAATATAAAAGAATAAAGAATATACATTTAAGGAACGTGTTCAGAGCATACAACTAACTAGAATACTAAAAGAAATAATATAAAAATTGAATGAACAAAGGAGCAGGTCCTATAACAAGAGGACTCGAAGATACCGCTGCGGAAGTGCCTTGACTCCGGGATTGTATGCCTCGATTCTAAGTCCTGAATGGAGGTACAAAACAAAGGTGAGTGGACCAAGTTGATATATATATAATAAAACAGTTATCAAGATACTAACCCCACATTTTATAAAAAGAAAACTACTAGCATAATAAGTGAAAGTTTTATTGAAAACCCTAGCATGCCAAAAACATCTCAAAAGACATATCGCGGAAAAGCATCGCGGAAATCAAAACATCAATCATCTCACAGATCGTCTCGTAATCGCGGTGTACTGCCAGTAAGATCACTGAATAAATATAACTCTCAGCCCTATGCCAGCACCGTTGTCTCTTCGCCCGTAGCTAGAGATTACCAACTCTCGGCCTAATGCCTGCTCCATGTCCCTCAGCCCGTAGCTAGGGATTATTTCTCCCAGCTTATCTGCCAACACCAGATCCTCGTCCCAGGCGACATAGTGTCCACTAGATACGCACAAATAGTTATGCCTCTAAAAAATAACCACTTCATAGTATAAAGTCATCCATCGTCTATACTATAAAGATGGGTTTCTAAAACATGTTCTAGCATCCTATCGTCATCCATCAGATAGTCTACCAGTTCATGGTTTTTATAGAAAATACGATATATTAAAATATAGCTCAATATAGGCCAACAATTCATTCTTCACCAAAAACGAGACAATAAACAACATATTCCATAAACATGCTTAACATAAAATCAGTTCATAAACTCGTAAGACATGCATTTCATTTTTGCAAATAAACTATAAAATTATGCAAATTTTAGAAGGGGTCTACTCACCGTACACCGATGGTGCAAAGCTATACGAAAAAGGAATAATGGAATTACTGCTAATAATCTCACCTATTCACAAAAAGAGGTACTTTTAATCAAACTCTACTTAAACGATTGAATTTGGGAAAACGGACTTCAAAAATGGGTCTAGGACGTCGAGATTAGCCTAGGTGAGGTCCCAAATGAAACTCGAAATGTCAACACTAAAAGTCAATGTTGACCGTTGACCGGTCAAAGTCAAAGTCAACTTTGATCGTTGACCGAGTCAACTGGGTCAAACGGGTCTGGGCTTAGGGTTTGGATCTGGTTTGGGGCTTGGGTTCTTGAGCTTGGTCCTAAGGCCCAAGGGTTTAGGGTTTAGCTAATTAGGTGGGCTAGGTTTAGAGGAGAGGGCTTAGGACCTTAGTTCAAAAAGCCTGAATGCCTTAAGCCTAAGGGTTTTGGGTTAGAGAAGGAACGGGCCGAAGGCTCTAATTAAAATGGCCCAAGGCCTTTTACTTTAAGAACTAAATAATTAAAATTTAAAATAAAAAATTTTGGTTGGGTTTGGGTCTAACGGGCTTAAGTCCGAGTTCTAAAACGGCCCAAATGGCCTGGATTCACTTGCTCTTGCCAGGGAAGAAGGACGGAGACCTCCCAACTCTGGTCGACGCCATTCGTCGTCCTAGGCTCCTATCTAGGTATCAACATGAAGAGGAAAGTGAGAGGAGTAATTTGATACCTTCGGTTTGCTGTGAAACGGCCGGTGGTGGTCGGAAAATCCTTCGACACCTACGGGCTCGCTGGAGACGGGTTTCGTTTTCCCCGAGCCGATCTCGTGTTAAACCTTGTCAATAACAAGTATAACATTCAAAAATCTCATCCTAGCATCAATCTAAGACAGAGAGAGAGAATCCCAAGGCTTAGCTAGCCGGGAATACGAGGAAATTTCGCCAGAGAGTTTTTCTGGGCTTCTCCACGCCTCGCAACAACAAGAGAGAGAGAGAGACGGCAGGATGATGATGATGATGATGATGCCGTTGATGTCGGGGAAGGTGATGTGGTGCTCTCAAGTGTGGGTCGAGGGGTGAGAGATCGGGGAGTGAGGGATTTTTCGAAAAATCCCTCAACTCACACGGGAGTGAGTGCAGAGAGATTCAGGGAGGGAGAAAGGAAAAGAGAAGAGAAAGGGAGGAGAGAGAGATAGGAAACCGAGGACAGATATCAGGGGGCGGGCCTTTTGGGCTCCCCAATTAAGACCCAAAAACTATTTTTAAATAAAACGAGGGTGGGCATAACAAAAATTCTACCAAAATAATTACCAAATTATACCAAGAATAGGGTAAAATATATAATATAATATTGACTCATCATTGTCCATGTAATTGAACTTAAAATCTCCTCTCCAATAAAGTGAAAGTTAAATATTGTTGTGCCAAATGGTTATTGGAACTATACTTTTATTCATTAGTAACAGTTTAAGATGATTGCTTAAAGGGTGGTGCCATCCACACTTTTTTTTTTTTATCTTCCACACACTCTTAGTTAATTAATGTCCTTTGATCTTTAATTCATTCAACCCAATGGCCGGCAATCGAGAGGTGCGTGAAAGGTAAAAAAAAGATGTGTAGATAACACCACACTTGCTAAAATGTCATTCAAACGTATGTGAGAGATTTCTGACAATAAATATATGTATATTCAATAAAATCTTGCTACTCAGTACTACGGTCTAATGGTATTCCTCTTCACTTGGAAGTGAGAGGTCTTAGGCTTGAATCTCGTGGATGGCGAATTCGATACCAAATTAGGTTCCATTGTGTGGCTTAGTTGAACTCCCCATCCCCTAGTGTAAAAATATCGATGTACTAAAAAAATAAAAAATAAAAAATAAAATCTCACATGCATCAATGACTTGAAATCAATCATGCACCAACGAACGACTGGCCTAGCTAGCATTTTTCTTAGACCTGGTATTCATGTTGTTTTTTCCATGTTCGTGTCATACCTGATATTTTAACGGGCCGTATCCTGTAATACCCGTTAAATTAAACGGGTAATATGACCCTACCCGAAATAGACACCTTAATAGTAATATGATTTGACGCGTTACCCGTTAAAGAAAATATATTTTAAACCAATAATTAATCAAATGAAAAACATAATACCATATTGTCACATTCAAAACATAAAAACACATTTGTCATTCAAATATTATATACCCAAAATAAGAGCATAATAGAAAAAGCTTTTGTACATTACAAAATATCAAATGTTCAAAGGATTTGCAAAATCAAGGGATTTATGTTTCAAGGTTGTGGAGTCTAAACGACGATGTAAGTGTAACAAGGTGGGCAAACGGGTCCTGGATCCGCGGGTCGGGGAGGGTTCATGAGGTTCGGGGTGGGTCCAAAAATTATAAACACCAAATGGGGTAGGGCTGGGCGGTTCCATGGAATTAGCGGGGCAGGGTAGGTTCTAAAATCTGGAGAAACGGGGGCCCGGCCCGAACCATTTCCATGCTTAGCTCCGAGTCCAGCCTCTTCAACCTCATATCTCTCTTCCTAAACGACAACAACTTCTCCGGCGTTTTCCCCAATGTCGTCATTTTCCCCAAATCCCTCAAATCCCATAAACCCTCAATCCCTCGATGTCGACATTTTCATCATCAAATCCCTCAACAACGGCGTCTTCAGCCTCAAATCTCTCTTCCTAAATGACAACAACTTCCATATCCGACCTCCACTGCCTCAAAATCGTCATCCTCGATAAAAACAAAATCTCCAGCGAAATCCCAATGTCGCTGCTCGGGCTCCGCCGTCTCTACGTCCTATACTTGCAGGAAACAGGTTCACCGATCCCATTCCACCGTCGATCAGTCCCACCAGACAATTAGGTTTCCATCGTCGATCAGTAAGTTACTTTTTACCAAGGTTCTAAAAAACGCTAGGCGCTAGTCGGGCGGTGGACTAGCGCTTAGCGCCTAGGCGGCTAGGCGGTGTCTAGGCGGGCGCCTAGGCGGCCTTGGCGGATTTAGGTAAATTTCTTATATATTATATGAATCAATTAAATTTACTATATCAGATGTAAATAATTATTGAATAGTATGTTATTTCTTATAAAAGAACATACATATGTGAATGTTTTATGTGCATATATAATATGCTTGCCTAGGAAAAAAAATATTATCTAAATAATTTATAATTTTAATTTATATATATATATATATATAAAGCCCACGCAAGTGGGTGATGATGACACATACATAACATTTATATAAAAAGCCCACGCAAGTGGGTGGTTTTGATAATTAAAGATGTCCACCCTATTTCACATCACCCAATCCCTAGACCTCAGTCATCATCAGTTTTTTACCTTGGAAAGTGAAATGCCATCATCAGTTTTTCACATCACCCTATTTCGTTTCTTCTTATTTGCCTTTTCAGAATCTCAAAATTTTAGTCTCTCTCTCTCTCGTTCTGTTTTCTAGAAACCTCTAGCACTCTTTTAGTCTCTCTCTCTCTCTCTCTCTCTCGCTTGTTCTTTTTCCAGAAACCTCTAGGAAAGCAACCATGGCTATATTTAGATGCAGACACATATGGGAGTTTCGATGCAGATGCGAGAGTTAGAGTTGCAGATCCGATGAGAGTTCAAGACGGGAAGAGTTGCAGAGCCTTCAACGCCAACAAGAATGGAAACCGTGGAAACTAAGAGAGATGATCGAAGACGATGGCCCAGAAAACCTCTCGAAGTTGCAGCGGGTGAGTGCACTGCAGTTGAGGAAAAAGAGACGAAGTGGACGACGAGACTTGGTTTCTGAAATTGGTTTCAAAAAATAAAAAATAAAAAATCGCTCAGCTCCGCCTAGCCGCTTAGCACCGCCTAGGCGCCGCCTAGCCAGCCTAGGAAACTGCCTAGAGCACAGCCGATTTTTCCGGCCGATTTGCAAGAAAACGCCTTTGATGGTGACCGCTAAGCGCCTAGGCGCCGCCTAGGCCGTTTTTTAGAACTCTGCTTTTTACCGTCTGGTTTCATATATAGATCATAGTTGCAGTTTGATGGATGGAGGATTAAGGTTCAGTATATATGATGTAGGCCCCATATAATTATATGATCTCTTGTGAAGCAGTTCTGAAATATGAACCTTCCACTTTTATTCTCTGAATTATATTGGTTAATCCCTTGTGAAGCAGTTCTGAAAAACTGATTAAGATAATCGCAGCGAGCGTGGGTGGGTTCGTGGTGGTCATAATTTGCTCGTTTTTGCTGTGGATGGTGTGCTGGAGGAGTCTTGGCGGGGAGGTGAGGAGGAGCAAAGGTGTGAGTGAAGATTTGAACCCATGGGGACCCGCAGGAACCGGCCGGTTTCAAAAGGGCCGGGTTAGGTCCATATCCCATTTTGAAAAATCCAAAACCCGCACCGCCCCGCCCTGTTTTATTTACAAACAAGTCTGGTCTGGTTCCTTCAATTTTGAGCCCGGCCCGGCCCGTGCCCGTGCCCACCCCTAAGTGTAACCAATGTTTACTCGTGGAGGAATGATGCAATCACAAGTGTTTATATATTGTTTCACATTTTTCACATTATTAGGTCTGCCTTCTTGCCTATACTAATATTATACTGGTTGATTTTAATTTTGGACTAGAAGTCAAGTAAAATTTATCCTAGTAATGACAATAAAAAACTCTCATAATAAAAGTAAATAAATAAAACTTAATTTTTTTTAACTCATAATAAAAACTCTTATAATAAGTTTGTTTAGTAGTTAAACTTTAAAATTATCGAATTTTTTTTTTTCTTAACGGGTTACCCGCGTGTATACCCGCTAAGGATCCATTATTAACGAGTTCTTAATGATTCACCTGATAACGACTCGATTAGTAATTGTGTTGATCCAAAGCCTATTATTTTCATATCGTGTTATCATGTCTTGTAAGAAATTGCCAAGTCTAATTTTTCTTCATATAGTTTAACACTAATCAATGTTTGGAATATGTATCAGCAATGCAATGATTCGTTACTTGAATGCACTGGACAATTTGGGAATGACAATTTTGGAGATGTTAGCTCATGGACTGGGCCTTCCAGACAACTTTTTCACAAAGAACTTTGAGGAAAAAGAGGCTACTATGATCAGGGTCAACAGATATCCTCCTTGTCCCCTCCCTGAAAAATGTCTTGGGCTTGGGAGCCATTCAGACCCACATACCTTAACCATATTGTTACAAGATGATGTTGGTGGCCTGCAAGTTCTTACAAGTGACAACAAATGGATTGGTATCCGTCCTGTTCAAAATTCTTTCATCATCAACATCGGTGACACCCTTGAAGTAACTCACTCTCTCTCTCTCTCTCTCTCTCTCTCTCAAGCAATTGTATGCATATATACATTTAGTAGTAATGTTCCCTTACTAGAAAAACGCTAACGTTGTGAGGCTTTAATCTGAATTACACTTTTTTTTTAAAGAAAAATTAATGAAAATGATTTGAAAACTTTGAATTTTAACGATAAGGACAAAATAAAAGGTAAAGTGAATAGTACTATGATTGATTTTTTAATGTAAAAATATGGTTTTTCGTTAAAATGAAGAGTACTAGGAGTTTTTCGTTAAAGTTCCATTTTTTAAAGTTTGGTTTCTGTACAAAGTTGTAACTGTATGTGTACTTTTCTTGCAGGCTTGGACTAATGGGAAGCTGAGGAGTGTAGTGCATAGAGCAGTGCTTAACAAGGAGAAGAATAGGCTATCAGCAGCATATTTCATGAGCCCCCGTAATTCTGCCCTCATTGACTGCCCTCTTGTGCTCATGGATGCAAAAACCAACCCTAGAAAATATGTGCCCTTTACTTGGGGTAATTTCCGAAAGCAACTTTTGGTTCAAAAGAGGGTTGTTGGTAACTGCACTAGAAAGATACCTAATATCCAAATGAAGATTATAGTTTGAAACCTGGGAGGACCAAAAGTTTAGACTTAATATATATTAGACGTCTAATACAGGTTTAGTCTATCTGTATTAGTAGTTTGGCTTCTATTAAAAATGGTGTTCGCACTGTAATCTACAAATATGACGCAATTTCTTGTACCATGCCAGCATGCCTTGCTTACCAAGCAAAAAGAAAGAATAAAATTATGAAGATTGCTTTCACACATAAATCAATTTTTGTTTTCATGTAATTAATAATTTCAGTAATACGAAAGGGCCTTTTTCCTATTTGAACGGAATGTCAAAGAATGGAAAATTTCCAATTTTCCAATATATCAAACCAAATGGAAGTCTGTCTTATTAGCTAACAACTATTGAACAATAATATATATATACAGATCTAGATCTATCAATTGTATCACTAAACAGGACATATATTATATAAAATAAAAATAAGGTCTTCTTATATCATTCCCTTACCTGTACGGAATATATTATGCAGTCTTATGGAATGAAAATCCACATAATGCAAAATTGTCAACTCATCGCCCAAATAACTAAACAGGAAATCAAATGAAGACTAATAAGGTTTTAGGATTTGGTTGGACCCTCTCTCTCAACCGTGTGGCTTCTACTTTCATTTCAGACTACATTTAGTTTGGTTTACAACTACTGCAATCGGCAGAGTGGATAAAGAAATATTCATAAGAAACGAAACTTGCTAAGATATTAAATTACATGCGATGGAGCATATGCACTTTGATTTGTGGTCGATTCTCATTGATTTCTGTTAATAATTAATTATTTAGATCATTAACGCTATCGCTCTAAAAAAATATATTAAATTACATGATGGCGACTTAGCCAAGTTGCACGCAAAACCTAGAATCATTATTTTCTCTGGACAAAACTCATAATCCATATTTATAATTACTCGTTTATTGGAGTGCTCATGACCTAAATTATCGGTTGGATAACAATGGCAATTATAAGAAACATATTTATTATGTAGACCATGCATCTTCTCCGGCTAAACCTCATGACAATATTGGGTACATTTGGATACCATGTTCTAGAGGTTTCTCCTCCGCTTATTTTGCTAGTTTTCAATACTAGTATGGCTATTGACACTTTAAAAATACACTTGCGCAAAAAAAAAAAAAAAAAAAAAAAAGTTTGTTTTCTTCCTTTTTTTTTTCAACTATTCTTACTTGGGTCTTACGTATATAATTAAGGAGAAACTAGTTAGCTAGTTGTTATTTCATACCCAGCTGCTTACTCGGGATTTTTTCTTGGGGCTAAAGTATTAACAAGTATTTTTATTTTATAACTAATATAAAGCGATAGGTGCAATACATGGCTTGTTAATATACATCAGATGCCTTCTCAAATTCTTACAAAACCTAATATAAAACGAAAGGTGAGACAACATAAGCATTATCCTTATTTATATTCTTAAGTCACCAATGGTTCACTTACCGCGTAGAATTTTTTTATCAGTTCTACATTTGTTGGTTGCAAAATCACATTTATAATTGAACTCCAAATTTTGGTTGAAATGAAAGTCGTATTTAAGGAAAAATAAGAAAGCAAATTGTCTTGCTTTGAACTTTACGTACCTTGACTCAGTAATATCCACCAGCATGCATGCGAAATTTCTCCTCCAAAAACAATGGCTGCATATTTTTTATCAAAGCTTAAAAAAATTGTCCAACTAACTACACATTTAATAAAGCCATGCATGAGACTTGAGAGTGTACGGGCTCTTTTGCTAAACATTACTAGTCCTCCTCATATGGATATTCACAGATAGTTTATGTTTCCTATCTGCAAGGTTTTGGTCAATAATTAAGGATGTTTCTTCGAATATAAGCCGCTACATAAAATTTGACCTGGCAGCATTGGTCCTAAAATATTTGGTCTTCCCCCAACAAGAAAAGTAAAAGCAAGAGGAAAAACGATAATGAGGACATCCTTCCAAAGTCTTGGGTCCTTTTTTTTAGGCCAAACTCTCCAATCAGTCCTACAATAATGAGGACTTTCTATTTCCACCTAACTTTCTACTCAGCATACGATCTAGGGTTCTCTAACAATTCCCTAGCCTTCTTCCTATTTCCCCTCATTCATGAAGTTATTGTCAACCACTACAGGGCGGCTATGTGGTTATGGACGAATTTCAGGTCCATATTTCACACGGCACATCCTGTGTTCATTCTTGACATTGGTGAAGTGCACAATTGTTCTATGTCAGAAGGAGACTGAAATACCTCTATAGTTAATATTCCCAGTCCCTAAAAAAGTAGACTATCATGACGAAACCACCAGTTGGTCTTTTAAAAAAATTGAAACTGTTGTTGTTGACTATTCTATATTCTTTTTCCTTTCTTTTGATCAACTTAGGGAAAATTTGATGACACTTCCGAATTGGTTGAGTTTTAACGAAAAAGGCCTGGCACTATTCATTCTGAACCAAAAGGACATTTTGTGTACGAAAAGTCTATAATGGAACAAGCTCTTTTCTTTATTTACTCTTATGCCATTATTTTATTATTGTAGCATGGTCCACAATGATGTTGACATTTCTGTCTGGAAATACATTATTTTACATTATGCTATTCAACTTATGCTAATTTGATGTCAGCTCTTCATGCTTCCATCATATAGTCGATGTTATGCAACTCTTCTTCTGTCAAACTGTTCCAGTACTGTTCATCACCTTTTACTAGCTTTGCATCTCTTTCTCTATCTTCTTTCACCTTGTAGTACATGTCTTCTGTTTCTCCTTTGAAAATTTGAGACTTTCAGTAGGGCTGATGGCTGATTTTTGTCTTACTGTAAATATGCATTTCTTCTTCTTCTGCTACTAATAACATATCATACCTAAAATCTTCAAACTCATCCAAGGCTAGCATTTGGATCCCTCGAAATTTTAGAATATTTTTGTATGAAAGAGTCCACTTATGTGAGGAGATAAATGATATTCTGAAGGACTCTTCATTAATCATGGCTATATGCCTAGCTTTCTCTTTATGCGTACGACCAATCTGGAGGACTACTAATAAAACTTATACGAATTTCTTTCCACTGTTCTTGATAATCTTCTACTACTTTTATAACCTTTTCAGGAAATAATTCTAGTTGCGAAATATGGTTGATGAATATTTTATCAAGATATCCAAACTCTAATAGTAAGGTTGGAGTAACTTTTACTACATTATGCTTTTTCTAATGCTCATAATAAAAATGCCATGGTCTAAAATCTCTCATGTTAATCTTGGTCACAGCTATGCTAACCTCTGGTTTACAAATACAATTCTATGTACTATCACAAAGACATGGTGGATACATTTTTGTAATAATATCCATCCCTGGTTTTGGATCAAAGATGGAATGATACAAAGCACATTGTAATTGTAATGGTAACTCTTTCATGGACCGTGATACTCTGCTCAAGATCTCATTTTGCATATCTGGTGACATTATTCTTAATTTTGCTTTTCAGATTTCTTCTAATAGGATATCATTTATTATTAAGTCTAAAGATATGTTCCTAAGAAAACTTTCATATCTTTCTTGTTTTTCTTTGTCACTCAGATGTTGATTTTGCTCCATTTCAATGTCTTCTTCGAAGAGCTCAATCTTAATCACTTCTATGGGCTCATTAGCCTCTCGTTCTATGGGTTTAATAACCTCTTTTTCTTTATTCTTATGCTGATCAGTTTCCAAATCTATTTTCAATTCTCTTTTTAAGGTGTCACTTGCCTTTTGCTGCATTATAAGAGATTGGAGTTCTTGGTTCATTTTGGTAAACTTACTAAGTAATGACTCATGGTCCCTAGAATGACTTGAAGGATATGCTCAAGAGAATGAGTATGATGCTGGCTTTGATGGAAATTAAAATTAAAACTATCAAATTCTTGTTTTAAGGCTCTAATTAATTTTTCATGACCTAACCTCATGCTTGTCTGTTTGATTTGGATATTCCAAAAATTATCTAAGAGAACCTGTTGCTTATTAGAAAGTCTTGATACTCTTGGCCTATAGCTCAAAGTTAGATTTCTGATTCCTTCAACTATATTGCCATTAAAGTTGAAAGTGGGTACTGGTGGTGATGTTGGTCTGCTTATGCTATTTTGGAATCCATTGAATGGTAGAGGTCCATGGTGCATCATTGTGCTATTGAAATGTGCTTTTCTACCTTGTGGTCTTATGCCATTTGAGGATGATAGTCCACGATATTCCATTCTTGTTTAACGAATTAATCTTGATAAGATATCAGCTAATGTATTATCACTACCTTATATATGTTCAAAAATTGGTTTAAAACCATTTCCTGTAATTGAATCAATAAAATTAACTTATCTTCAGACAACGTGTTTATTAGTATGTATTTTGTTATAATGAGAAACTATATTTTGACAATCTATTCTCATAGTAAATACTTCATTATGTAAAAATAAAGAGAATGCCTCAAGTGAATTAATTATCCCTAAAATTTCTAAATTTGTTGAAGGTAATCTTGACTGTACATCACTAAATTTTCTTGATGAATATCTACAAACTTGTTTGTCAGATTTTGGTGACTTCTTATGCTTTTTCTAGTATACTATACCTGCCAATCCTAGTGATGAAGCATCTATTTCAACTATTTTATAACTATCATTTAATGGTAATGTTAATGGCTTAAGTTGAGTAATTTCTTCCTTTATATTTTGAACTAATTTAATATCTTCACTATTAAAATATTTTTGTCCTATTTTGCTAGTTTTCCTATGTTATACTGCCATTTTTCTTCCTAAATCAGGGATAAAATTTCTTGCATAATTTAACAATCCTAAAAATGCTTGTAACTGGCTTTTGTCTTCTAACTTATCTGGAAATTCTAAGACCTTTTTAGCTATATGATCTTGTAATTGTAATGTACCTGACTTGATATACATTCCTAAAAATTATATATCTTGGTTTTCTAATGCTATTTTATTTTTGCTAATCACAATTCCATTATTGATAAATTCTTGTAAAACTATCTCTAAGTGTTTCCTATGTTCATTTCTATTTTTACTATGTACTAAAATATCATCGAAAAAAATACTAGAAAATTTATCATATTTCTTGAAAATTTGGTCCATCTTTCTTTGAAAGATCGATGGAGCATTTTTT